TTTTTTTTTTCTGGAAGTACAAAAGACAGGCATGGAAAGCAATGTTCTTCCAAAACTCCTCGTCCTTTATGATGCACTTAAGGAGCTCTGAAGTCCTGTCATAGTCAATTTCTAGAAATTTGATTTTTAAGCAGTCTGTAAGGACTGTGAAGTCTTATAGTCAGTATTCAGTAGCTTTAAGGTCGGATCTATTTTGAGATTTCAGTGATCAATAGGAACTTAATTGATTAAATTTGCAGTTACCGTTTCTTGCAACTTAATAGACCCAGATTATTTGGACTGTAATGGCTAGGTAGGATCATGTGTATATGAGGCAGCTAAAATACTTATAGTATGATGAAAAGAAGTTTTGCATTTTTAAATAGACTTGGTGGAAAAAGACTCCAATCAATGTTTGCTTGCTGCTTTACCACAATAGAATGAAAAAACACACGTTCAACTTTTAGTAGTTGGTATGAAAGCACAAAGGGTTGCTCTCCACACTCTTGTATTGTATAAGTAGATGAATGACATGTGCTTGAAGTGGCTGTTAGACCAGAGTGTGGAGACATGATGCCTAGAGGACCTGATGCAATCTCTGCCTTGTTTATGAAGCTTCTATCATTATGTCTACAAGAAAGCCACCTTTTTTGTTCACTTTATTATGTACCTCATAAAATAGAGAAAAATTGCATGTAAAAGGGAGATTCTGTTCTAGAAAAATATCACAATAAATAAATATTCCAAATGCTCTCTCTTTCTCAATGTAAATAAATACTTTCTTTTAGTTTTGATTATTTAACACATGATATTGGAAAAGCAAAACAATATTAAACAAAATCAAAGAAAATAGTCTTTGTAAAAATTTTATTCCCAAGACTCAAACATATTATTCTAAGGTTGTCAGTTTCTATTTCAAGGCTGTTTAAAAAAAATTATAATACAACAAATTAATTTCTCAAATATGCTGATATTTGAGAATCCTGTATTTTGACAGAACTCAATATGACTCAAGAGAAGTGGCTTGAAAACCAGGCATTTCTGTGACCTAATATCATAATTACAGAAAGAATTGAATAATGAACCCTATGAGCTCTGGCAAAAATGCAAGAGAAATAATTAAAACAGCTGACCATTTGAATTAACAGCCTCTCTAACACACTCCTATCACTTACCAGGGCTTTGTTATGGGAGTGTGGATGGAAGCATGGAGGGTACACTGACCTTCATGTCCATCTGTACTTTGCTCCATTTGGCCTGGGAGACAACACACACTCACCTGGGGGGTTCCAGAGCACTCCTGAGGGAGATCCTCTGCTCTGCAATACCTGTAGAGAAAATAAGACATCGCCAATGTGTGCACCCACTCTGGGTACAGAAACAGTGTTTAGTTTTGCAGATAAAGTTATGCTCCGCAGTGCAAATGGATTTTCTCTCTTCTTTTTTTCAAGCATTTAACTATTTTTGTATTGAACTGATGTGAAATTACATGAGCTTGGATAATGTGAATAATGCATGAGATTTAAGACAAACACATGAAAGGAGCTTATTTTTCATGTCAAACAATTCTTTATTTTTTATGGTACAAATTAAAAGTGACAGTTCTGAAGCTGTTAAGAAATACACAAAGTGCAGCTTTACTGACCATACAGATATTGCTCTAGATTAAGTACAGTTTTTGTCAGTTTTTTATTTTTTATTTTTTTCATGTTAAGCAACCTGTGCAGATAAATCAGCTTTGGTTTCAAAGTCAGAGTAATAAGGAGCTTTTAAATATCCAGTTTGTATTCTTGGTCACAAGTCCACCATATCCACTCCTTTTTTTTTTTATTCATATTTTTTAACAACACAATACAGTCCATTTTGTACTGCCATCTTTCCCCTTGCATGCTCCATGCACGGAAAAACAGATCTCTTTGCAGTGCTTCGTAAGTGACCCTGGTGACCATTCTGTAGATTATAGCACATAGGACAAAAAAAATAATAATAGTAATAATAATAATTAATAATAATAATAATAGTAATAATATCACTTTTTAACAATAAATAAACGAATGTGCCCCACATAGTCTCAAGTTGGAAACAAGCAAACCACATGACAAAAAGCTCATTACAAAATGTTTTCCAAACAGATTTTACAGTCAAACATTGACATGGAAATCAATTTCCTCTTTTATCTTCTTACTTGAATGTTGGTCAATAACTGGGTACAAGTAGAGTGCTGAGGTAAAACACTGATGAACAGTTTTATTTTTGTATTTTTTTAAAATAGTAACAGTTTAGTATTGCGAGATTGTCAGCAACATTTAGCCATATCTATACAATGTGCATATACCTACATACATTGAGCTTTGGTCCAGCATTGAGAAGACGAGCAAAGGCATTTTACATATTTCTTTTTGGTTATAGCTTGAGTTCTTTGATACGCCTCTACTTGTTCCTTCCTAGCTCCTTTTTGCTTCCTTGTTCTCTCTCTTTTTCCTTTTTTTTCTCTTTTTTTTTTTTTTTCCTTTTTTGGTTTTTTTAAATTTTTTTTTTTTTTTTTTTTTTTTGAAATTGGAACCATTTGAATGCATTTGATTTCTTCAACTGTCCAAAATAGCTTTTTAGTGAAAAACATAAAAAGACAAAATTAGAAGAGTAAGTGAACCCTTGGTTCATTATTCAAATAATATTTTATATATATTTATATATATATATTAAAAAAATCAATTATCAACAAAGTGGAAAACCATTAAACCTTCACATATGACCGAAGAGACTTTTGTTTCATTTGCTGGTAGCAACCTATCTTTTAGTCACATGCAAAATTAAAACTTATTCAATTTTTATCAATACATGAAAATTGTTTACAAATGGGAACCAGAAATGTTGTCAGTAACATAACAAAACAAAATATTTATGGCCCTCCCAAAGATGTATGACTCAGATACAATTTATCTTCCTAAGAATCTATTCAGGCACCATTTATGCCTCATAGCAAAAATTTGTGTATTAAAAAATTAACATGAGAAGCATTACAACACCTTATAAATAATTTACAAAACATAATACAAAATCAGAAAACTGTAAAAAAAAAAATCACTGCACATGAATGATTTTAAGACTGTGGGATGAACATTATTTTTTCTTCCATGCTGGCAATTTATATTTATTTTACATTTTCACTGTCCTAGTTATATCCTTCCGATATGTACTTTGGAACAGAAAAGAGCTTATATAACTGCTGCCAGCATATTTTTAAACATTTAGTATCTTTCATACAATGTTTGGTTAACATTTTTTTTCTTGGGGGATTTTTCTTCACAGAATTTAGAGCAGTCCCTGGGAGAATTGGAAATTTAGTTTTCAGGCAATGAATGGTTGATGGTTTTGTTCCCAGGCTGTTGGTGGTGGGGATGGAGTGGGGGAGGGTACGGCCTTAAGGATGACTGAACATGTAATTGTGTATGTGGCATTAATGACTGGGCAATTAGGAGTGTTCTGGAGACATGGGTAGGATTTCAGGAGTAACTGCTTCCAAATATGATTTATTCATCCTTGCTTTCCTATTAGGTACTGGATGGCGGTCTGATCGTTACATAGATTGAACAGTGGTGACAGCTTTAGACCTGTTTGGTATAGACTACATAGATATTTCTGAGGATATAGGTATCTATGGAGAGAGAGGGTATAAAGAAACCCCAGAGGGGCAGATGTTGCTGTGAGACTCTAATTTACATGCTCTGCTTGGATAAAGCATCTACTTTGTCCCTCACTATTTGCCAGTGGTTACGGAGGTGTTTTTTACCCCAGCAGTTATTTATATATCAACAGTTGAAAAAGAGTCAGTAACAATTGTCACTCTCCTCCTCATAAAAGGAAGACTGAAAATATCCTAAACATATCCTGCTGAAGCATGAAGTCTAAAATGCATTTGCTGGACATGAGCTCATCCTGGAGTATTCGATCCTTAGTGTGCTCCAGCACTGACCTTTGAGAGTGCTCACATTTAGAAGCAGCTTCTGGCCCAGATGATGGTCTCCGAAATCTTAAAGCTCCACCAACCATGCAGTAAATACCCCACTTTACAAGGCAAATCCCATTAATAAAATACTGAGGGCCAGATTCAAAGCAAAGTGAAATCAATGAAAGTCTATTTCTTTCACTTAATTTTGGATATAGCCTGGAATTTTTAAAAACTCTTTAGTAAGAGTGGTGTTATTTGAAGACTCCAGCACTTCAGGCACTTCCTTCCACATCCTAAGTAGACCACCAAAAATCCAGCACAACCATTCTGAAGTCAAGGAATGCAATCAGGAGTTATACCAGCAGAATTTTACCATCTCTATTTTACTATCTCTGAACCAATTATCTGATGTTATCTTTTGGGATGACCTGATCAAGATGCAGCTTCTACCCTAATGGTGGACTGAATCCCAAAGGCTTGAGCATAAGTGAGCAGAAGATGAAGATTGCAGATGACCTTCACAGGTCAGACCACACCCTATCAAGAACCTGAAACACCTTTCTCTGCCTCTGAGTCTTGTATGATCTAATGACCACAGCATTTTAGTAGATCCTTGTCCAATCACAAAGGAAGCCACAGAGATAAACTGTCTGTAAAGAAAAACCAGTTCCCCTGAATCATATTGCAGGTGACCTACCTTATATTGTCAAGAGACACTCAGTGTTTTTCCCTATGTCCCAATTGCTTAGTCTAGCCAGTGGCCACGGCAAACACCTGCAGAAGCACATCCTCCTGCTAAAGAAGCCAACAGGGCTTGCCATCAATATGACATTAAAACAAGCCAGAAGGAACAAAACACTACCATCAAAATTGTCCATAGTGATGTAATGATCAAAATAGCCTCATCTCTTCTCAGCCTGTCCACTTGTTTTCATCAGAACATCAAGAAATTTCTTTGGCTAGCAGGCTTTGGAGAGAAATTGCTTCAAATGGAACCATAATGTAGCTGCAGTACTGTACCAAGTGTGCAATTTATATTTATACTAAAAAATGAGTTTTGGTAACCTCTCCAGGTTCATGGCCAAAGGACAGAGAAATCTCAAGCTACACATTCAACAAAAAGCACAATGTTCAGTGTGAGTTTGAGAGTCCGTCAGATATAATCCTAATCCTTCTTCGTCCTCATTGCATTCCAGCATATAAAAGTGTTCAGATTTCACTTTTCTTTTTAAAATTCCTCAAACAGTGCTGGATTTGGGGGGCTTGGGGAAGGGGTACAGAAGGAGGCAGCAAATAGAATCAGGAAAAAAACCAACAGAAAAAGAAATGTAAACCAAGACATACACCCTTAGAAGACAAACACTAAACCCCACAAAATCACAATAAAAAGTACTTATTTTTGGCACCCAAACATTAGGAGATTGCAAAACTGTTGACTAAAAGAAAAGAAAGTGAGGTGACTACTATGGAATGGCTTTGTACACACCTGCAGGGGGTACAAACTAGGATGAGAGAAATTAATCCTATATTCCTCTTTGCAAAATACAAATGTAAAAATTTGTAACACAATTTTACACTCATAAAAGAGTAGACTAACAATCTAGTTTGCAATGCCATGTTTCTGACTTTGGTTAATAGATTTCATAGTGAATTAGCACTTGATACCTGAAAGGTTACAATCACTCCTCCAGGTGGCAGGCTTGTATTCTCTTTTAAACAGGTAAAAGTTTTTTTCTTTTTTTTCTTTCCTTTTTTTTTTTTTGCTGCTGTTTGTTTTGTTTTTCCTTAAAATGTGTTAGTATTTTCATAATATACAGAAAAAATTAAGCAGTTATTTGGTTTACTTTAAGTCCATTAAAAAAAAAAAACTGGCTTTTTCGGGTTTTTTTTGGGGAACTAATTCTACCACACACACTCTAAGTGTTGTGTATTTTTTTGTTTAGTTTTTTTTTTTATAGGAAAACCCATGGACATTTATAAACTGTCCTGTCCTTCTTGTAGTTTTCTCAGTCTTTTACTTACAAGGGTGATGAATAGGTATTTTCACAGAGTTCAAATGGACACATTTCAGTTGGTTTTTTTTTTTTTTTCCTCTGTGTGATTTGGCTTTTTTTTGTTTTTCTTTTAGGAGTTTTCTTCCAGAGAGTCTGTTAAAGGCTCCATAGGAACTGCTGTTGCAGGCTCGTGTTGTTTCAAACGTTTAATTGTGTTCTTCAGTGCTTGCCTCTTATTGCAGAACCAAACTCTAACTACTTCCCGGTCATAGTTCAGTTTCTCTGCAATCTCTGTCATTTCTTGCCCAGAGGGATGCGTGTTCTTCTCAAAGTGGGCATTCAAGATTTCAAGGGCTTGTGGCGTGAATGAGGTACGCCTCTTGCGCTTTTTGGATGGTTCGCTCCCAATAAACTCGGTAAGGTTCTGCATCCCTGCTCGATGGCGGGCCTCAGCCTCAGCCATCCACCGCTCAAGCACCGGCTTTATCTTCTGGGCACTTTTAGGGGTGATGTCCAGCTTTTCAAACCTGGCAGGATACAAAAGGCCAGGGTTCAGTTTGGCTGTCAGACTGCTAGCTATAGTGTTCTCTTGGGCTTCCTGTGGTAGGAAAAAGTGGCTTCTCAGGATGGTGTGTCTGAGGGAAAATTGAGAAAGAAGAGTCTTACACTGATGCTCTGCCAGGGTGGGACTTCCTGCCTGCCTGACTAATTGACTGGCAGAGGTAATTTACAGTAGATTATGAAAACTGTCAGGTATATCTATACATAAATATAGATATAGATATATATATATAGCTAGAGATTTAAGCTAACACAAAATGAGCACTACAACAAAATTCTAAGTACACTAAATAATACAGGTTAAGAATCACATTGTCATATTTCTGATGATCTCCAAGACCCTTGAGTCTAAGTTTAATTACAGGAAATGATATCAAAGGCATTGTTTTTATCATCTTGTCTTTGTGTTTAATCCTTTTGTTATCCCTCCCATCCCATGTTATCCAAACACCACAGCTTTAATAATAAAAACCAATGGCAAATACTTGTCTCTGAATATCAGGTTTCCTTTCCATTTTTCAGCAATTTTCACTATTTGTAAGTTAATGCTATATCCCTTTTCTGGGTTGGAAAAAAAATTCCCATAGCCACAGTGGTGTTCAGCTGAAACAGCTGGACACTTTGCAATTATCTTGCTGTCCCCACAATGTGCAAAGACAGACTCATGTCTTCCAGATGAAACCCAGCATAACAGTCCACTAATACACTGCGGCACCAAGCTGAGTTTATTGTGGGATTTCTGCAAACTGTACCAGAATGATATCATTTCCTGTAAATGAGGTCTTCTATATATCATTTTGCCATCAAAAGTCTTTTGCCAAACCAGATTTTACAAGTATTATAAAACATCTGGAAAAGCAGCCACACAAAGCTTTAATCCTTTCAAAAACAAGCAGAAGAGCAGAATCCACGTTTCAAGTCCTATAAATACTTGTTTCTTTCATTTGCTAAACATTAAAAAAGTCTTAACCCAAGTTCTTTGGTGCCATCCATTTGTATTTTCCCATTTTTCTCTGTCCACTCAGCACGTTGAGGTATTTAATGCTGCAGAAAGGCAACAATTACTGGATGTCGCTGCTGTGCTCTCCAGCCCAGGCGGTGCTGAAGCACCACCACCACCACTAACCACAGAGTGCTCTGGAGATGAGAGGAACTGAATCAATCTCTTTAGGCCAATAAACTTGGTGGAGTTTCTGGACATTTTTAGTGTCTCCATTCAGCACGTGGAGGCAGCAAAAAATATTCCAGCATGAAACAAAGAACTTCTCACAAACAAAGAATAAGACAAAGAATAATTTCAGATAATGATACTCCAAAGACTTTGTAACTGGTGCCTGATGTCTTAATGTGGTGTTGACTGCAAGGTGTTATTCCTTGGTGTCCAGTGATATTTCAAGCTGAAGGATATATTTTAAGATGTATTGTCTCAAATAAAAGAAAATGCTGCTATTTGCATACAGAACATATCAAGGTGGTATATTGCTCATATGACCTGCATAGGCCACCAGGAGATTCTACTTTTCTCTTTGAGCTGGTTGTTCAAATTGCTTGCCTTACTGCCCCTTCCACTGACCTGGAGTTCATACTGAAACTCCTTTGTTTCAACTGAAAAAAAGTTAAATCTACTATTTCTGCTGAAAACATGGTGCCACTGAGGCAGCTTAACAAAAAATGCACAGTCATAGAATGTAATTACACCCCAAAATGGTATCCATCTGAGGCAGGCAAAGGAAATTAAAAAAACCCTGTAACCTTGCGAATATCTGGGACAAGTTCTTGTACCCAATCTCATGTTATGAGCAACTTGCTCCTCCAAGGAGCCGTCTGTAAAAGGTCTCACCATCCCCAGTGCTTTCTCAAAGTGTGAGGTGGATGGAAAAAATGAGAAGACAGTAAACTAGGCAAAAGTAAAGGAAACAGCAATGTGTCCCTTTAACGTATAGCATGATAAACAGCAACTTAAGGCCACAAAAAATTTCCAGTTGCTATAAACTCCACCAGTTTTAGGCATTCTTTACCAACTGACCACAAAGAAGTAAAAAAAAAAAGAAAAATAATACAAAATCAAATTTAATCCTTAGCAATAAGGAGCAACAGCATTCATATCATTGGCATTGTCTGTTAGTGTTGTTGCTGCAGGACATGTTTGGTATAACGACATACAAGTCTTGAAACAAATTTCCCAGCAGTAGTATCCTTGTATAGACTGAATAAAGGTTATTTTCAACAGGGAGGTATCTTATAAGAAAAAACAGTAGGGGAGACCATAGAAGTGAGAGGATCCTATGGAGCTTTTTGTATTTAACAACAATCAATGGGTTTTATGGAAAATCATTGAGCAAAATGTGAGCTGCAAGCACACTACCCCATACTGATGTTATTTATAACCTTAGTCTTTAACTGCAGGAAAAGTACACTTCTATTCTATGGGGAATACATTAAAAGTATAAAGAGCAGATAAAAAGACAGAGCATTTCATGGATCACCAAGAACAAAATCCACTTAAATGAGCTTAGAGTTGGTTTCTTGGCTTTCAGTGATGGAGGACTATAAGGCATTGCCCAAGAGGAAAAAGCTGTTACCTAAGTGTGTTTGTTACCTCATGCATAAACACGGAATTACTGCAATACACATACATTCATATAAGGTGTTTGCTTCTACTCTAACTCTGTCAAGAGTGTATTATTATTTCTTATGATAAGGACAGATTTCTGCTTCTGCTTTGCATACATGGGTTTGTCTGCTTTTTTTCAGTAAATATTTGGGTGATAAAAGATGAATAGCTGCTGGTTTGAAAGATAGCAGGAAAGCTATTTTTTTCCCTTCTGTGTTGCCTAGGTAAATCATCATTAACATCCTCTATGTGAAGTGCTAACCACAGTAATACAGGTTTAACTTAGCAGGGAAGCAGCCATGAAATATTTGTTCAGTAACCCTATCTGTAGAAAATGGCACAGTATGAAGAGGGTCAGCTGGTACTTATCCAGCATCAGCAGGATCTCCAACTCATCTATGGAATTTAGTCTTTATGCCAGGAATATTGTTTCTCACTTGTTTAGAAAATGAGGAGGAAAAAAAAAAAGGAGACCAAAATCACTCTAAAGATACACAATAAGAACAATTTATATGCCAGATAACATTTAAATGTCAGGTTAAATGATACACTCTAAAGTTATGAAACTCAAACACAAGCATGCTCCTCACAATAAGCTGGATCATTATTAAGGACAAAGAAAGGAGTTTATGATGTAACTTGTTACCTGCAGATGGCAGACTGGCTATAGGCTGGGCCTTCGGTGGCGCTCAGGGCTTGGCCAACTTGAGTCTGTGTCAGGCCAAGGGACAGGCGCCGGATTTTGAAAGCTTTGGCAAATTCTCGTATTTCTTCCAGATTTACCCCATCCACTTCTCCAGTGGCTGTCTGAGGATCTGTTGAGATATTTTTTAATCATGTCAGTTCTTTGCATCACATATCATCGGGACAGGCTTACAGCCATTTTCACTGCTAAAACTTTCAAGCTCAAATTTTTTAATACTGATCCGTTTCTCTTCTTCCCCAAACAGAAACAGACTTGCCTTGTAAGGTGTGTTCAGATTGCTAAGATGCTGACTGGGCTGCAGTTGTCTGCAGGTGGAAGATTTCCAAAGATATGTCTTTGCTGAACTCCAGACAAAGGCCAGCTCACCTTTGAGGGAGGATGTGCTTGGGATCCTTGCTGACATTTATGCCTTGCAAAGTCTTCTCTGGATTGAGGAGTCATGTTCCCTGTTTTCCCTTTTTATCACATAGCATGACGGTGGGTGTTAATAAATTTATTTCCAGTCTGTAGGGAGGGCTATATATATGCATGAGCTGCTTGGATTTTAACTTGAAATCAAATGTTTGTACTTTATCTAAAGTTAATGTCAATAGGAGATTCACAACTATTTCTTCCCTTTTACAAAATACCCAACCTAAACTGCCACATAAATGTGCAAAATAACACAGGAAATGAACAAGCCTAAAAAATTTCTGCCTTTAAAACCTCCTTAATTTAATAATTGTCTTTTAAAATATGCCCTTCTGAGAAGCAGCCTTTCAAGCTTTTTATTCTGCCCCCCATCAGGTCAATAATCAAGGAGCAGCAACACTGGTTTTGGATGGTAATGCTGCACAGTTTTTTTACTTTTACATTAGCCCCTCAGAAGATAATGCTTATGATGCTGTGAGAATAAATCTGTCCTTCCTCTCTATAGCAGTTTACTGACACAGAAGCTTTTGTCCCTGAAAGGGCACATAATAAAGCATGTCTACCACAGAAAAGCTCCTTTGGAGCTGGATAACTCGGTCAATTTAGGACTTATCAAGGGAAATGACACAACAGCTGGAGTATGGAACTTCCAGCCCCCGCCCCCCCCCAAGCTACTGATCCCTGACTAAATGAAAGTGTTTGCCAAGTCAGAGACAGCATGGGACTGGGATGGTAGAAGATTTCAAAGTGTTGTGCAATCCTGCATGTAGTGAAGCCATTCTCCCAGTGAGACATCTCTATTGTTCTTCGCCTCATTCTTCAGACTCCGAGGTGAAGAGTTTTCAGTACAATAACCCCTCAATTTCTGTAAATGCAAGCAGTTGTCCAAGGACAGTGCTAGACTACATTACCATTCTGAACCCTTTATGAGAATGGCTCCTGCTAGTATGGCTCTAGTGAGGGCTTATCAGCATTACAGTAGCAAAGCTTTTATTTTCAGGGGTTTATAAGCCTGGTGTAAAATTTCCTAGTGATGGAAACATCCTATGAAAAAATCCTTTTGTCCAGCAATAGACAGAGGGAAAATTGTTTTCTGATGTATAAATTTACTCTGTTGCTTGATTGCAAAAAGCACAAATGGCAATATTTTTAAAATTCTTGTGAATGCAACCAGGGACCCCATGAACTATGCATACAAACATGCACATAGGCTGAACCTTGTTTCAATGATACTCCACACTCAGAATCATGTCTGCTGTTCTCACTGCTGTACTTGTGGTCACTTGCACACCCACGCACGCACTCAGTACAAAGCTAGGGTGCATATTGTTTGATTTAGGAGTAAGTGCTGTAACAGTGGCCACTGAAATTTATAAAGTAATTGCCTTTAGAAGCATGGAATTTTCCTGCTTACACCATATAGTCTATCTAGCATACCAGTTCTGAATTTCAGAGACACAGAGTGGAGCTGCAGATTTATCTGACTTTAGGTCTCTGTACTAAATACCATAACTGATACTGGCCTCAAAAACTCCCCTGAGCAAAGTTCACTGAAATGGTGACTTTCTTCACCTCTTTCTGTCTGTTAATTTAAGGCCTCTGACTAAGGTTGTTAAGAATGTAACAAAGGACAATTCAGATGTTGCCAGAGAACTTCTAAAGTAGCAAACTATGGCACCTGTAATCCTCCCCAAATCCTGTTAGGAATAAAAAGGGAAGTGAGAAAACTAATTCTAGAGAAATTGTAGCGAAATTCTGCCAAGTTCTGCTGGATCTAGAATGATCTGGCACTGTTGCAATAGTGAGCATCATGGAAAGACCATTCCTGCCTGTGGCCCTTGGATTAAGGAAATATTAAGCTGAGCTCTCCTTGAGATAAGAAAATACCTGTGATGTCCTTCAGTAATATGGGAGTAGAATATAGTTTACAGTGGAATATCTGTTGTGGAAAAGGCTTCATTCTTTCATAGCATCTTTGGCAACAAGGAAGTACTAACAGATGGACTGAAACACTGAAATGTTTTATCTTGAACTCTAGGGAAAATAGCATTTGTGTGAAATTGGAACCACTTCTACTTTGGGTGTGTTTCAAAGCCCTTTGAAATCCATGGATCTTGTCTTCAGCCACCTCCCTAAAACACAAATAGTGCTATGAAGACCATTCTATTGGCACCATCATTTGTCTGTTTTACACTATTGCATTCAAATGCCATCAATACAGTCTTGGACTGTGTGGTCTAAATATGTGTATTCATAAACATATTCAAAAAGATTATGGACTTTGTCTTAGCAAGTTCTGAGCTTTTAAAAGAGTTGAACATATAGTGCACATCACATTTTAGGAAGGGTATCTTATTGAAGATAATAAATAAGCTGGGTCTTTTTCAAATTAGTGGATATCCTAGGGAAGGCCACCCAGTGACAACAGGTAAATAGAGAATACCAGGCCCATTGAGCGTTTGGGATCTATGGTAATGGATTTCAAGGCTCCCATGTTTACATTATTGCTTGAGAAAACAGTGGCTGCCTATGAAACTACTGGGTGCTGGAGAAAGGTCAGAGGGTTGTCTTGGACCATTTCAGAGGATATAGGTACATATAACAAAAAGGAAGAGAGCTAAAATTCCATCAGCCATCCTGGTGGATGGGGAAGATAGATGAGTTGTATGGAAGAAATTAAATTCACAGGCTCTCCTGCACAGAAATCTGTTTTTTTCCTACTGAAGGGAATACTTCTCCCACCTTTGAATTCTTCTGATAATCTTTTGCGAGTTTGTTGTTGAGTGAAAATATGCTGCGATTTTAATAATTAGGGGAAAGAGCTGCTACAGAGAAATCAGTGCACCCTTAAGGAGAAACCAAATTTCAGTTGCACAGAGTTCTGCCACGGGAAGGATTACAGGGGAATGATTTCCCCAGTCAGAGAGGAGGAGAAGTAGCTGGCTGAGGAGGTCCAGTGGAAAGTAAATTAGATAAGAAGGCAGGGCAAAACATTGATAATGGAAAATGGAGTGGAGTTCAGGGAAAAAAAAAAAGAAGAATAATTTGTTTATGGGAGGCATTTTAATTTCATAATAACAGATGACAGTAAAATTAATCTGGGAGGAAGAAAGGAACTTCATGGAGACACAAATCTCAGAGCACAAGAGGAAACCAGTGATTTCCACAAAGAGAACATATGGTGGAAAAGTTAAAGAAATGAGCAGAGGGATGCATTTCAGAAGAGGAAAATGAAATGAAAAAAGGGGAGGAATAAAGATGTAGATTGAATTAAGAGAAAATAAAGAAGACAAAAGAGAATACAAATAGGATTAGACAATGCAAAGAAATCATACAGAAGGGACAGGAAGAGTAGAGATGAATCTTGCAGTCCTTGCTTAGACAGAACTTATTTTAAAATATTTTTTATTTGGAAATAACTGCTATGTTTTGTCCCCCAAATAATTAGCACTTGTTGCTGGTTAGGGATGATGGGATGATGATGAGAGAAAAGAGAAAAGCTATAAAGAAGACAACAACATAAAGGAAAAAAAAGACAAAAAATAAAAAAGAAAGAGCAATTAAAAACAAAAGGTAAGGAAATATCTTTGAAATCAAGAAACATGTAAAAGAAAAAGAAGCAAAATAATACAGAAAATATTACTATAATGAAATGTAAAAGTAATAAATCCAAGGAACATGGAACACTACAGTTAATAGAGTTCTTATGACTTTCTCCTTGTACTTTAATAATTTCTCTGATTTGAAGCAACCTCTTGTGAAAGAGTTACTCTCTTTGCAGTCAGTGTGCAGAAGCTTGCCCCAAATAATTATTTGCTGAAGTTTGATTAACTGAACAAGTGGCTAAACGTGACTGGTTTTACGTGAACTTTGCTATATTTAGCAACTATTTCTGGAATATAGCAAATCTCTGCCAAGGTACTCAGCTCCAGGACTTCTGCCAGAGGTCAGGACTACAGTTTCATAAGGAATCAGGAAAAGAGAGCAATATTCCTACCTCAGGAGGAATAAAGAAATCAAAGATAGATTCAGTTGTTTCCTGCTGCCCTCATGCATAAATACTTCTCTCAGAAATACCAACCCATTGCCCATCTCATCCCACTAAAAGACTTAAAATAGACTTTCAGACACTGGATTTAAATTGTGAGGCTTTCATACAAAGCTCTGCAGCCAGTGTGAAACCTGGGATGCTAAGAAGATCTCAGGCTTGACAGAGAGGTGCTCCTGCCCTTCAGCGATCTGCATCTGGAAACTGAACAGATTCTGTAAAGAACAAGGATGATTTTCTATCTACATTCTCATGGGCAGCCACAGTTTTGTGCAAATGACTTTTCAGCCACATGAAACAATTTTCAAACTCATGAAGGTAATTTAATACTATTTGTCCCAACAGTATCACTGGTTTATCACAGTGAAGGAAAAGCTAAAAAAGGATCCCATCTGATTTTTCATTTTTCATTACACAAGTGGTTTCATCTTTCCTTACTGAACTGACCATATTTTCCTTTTTCTTGTAGGCTCTTTCCACATTACTAGAAGAGAGTAGGTAGCTCTCTTATGCCCTGCAACACCATCCCTGATGTGGCAGCTCAAGCAGGGTTAGGCATGCAGTGTTAGCTCCAGTTTGTGGTGGCTACATGCTCTCAGCCTTTAAGGATAATTGAGATGACTGGTTTGCTTCTATCTGTGTAAGGTAACTATGCAAATGGCCAAAGGGAGTTGATCCGCCCCTCATGCTATTTAATTAGTCTTGAACAGCAGAGGCTGAATGAAGCTGGAAGCATAAACTCAAAACAGCTCCACAGGTTTTTTATTTATGTTTGACGTGGAATTTTTTTCAGGAGATCCCTATCAATAACATTTCCTTTTGGAAACTTTGAGTTAACTTCCAAGTGCAACTCCTTCAACAATCAGTCTGACTGTATTAAAAGTTTCCTATGCCTGTAGGTCTTTTTGATAAGACCACAGTAAAGACATGGAGACTGACTTGACACTCTTCCTTGTGATCACTTTTCACACTCCTCTGATGGCTGCTAGGGAGGGTGGGAGTGGCATCAGTAGGATTTGGATGCAGAGGGGGCAAAAATTAACCTTGATTCTACAGAAAAAGATAAGATAGAAGAAAAAAAACAGACTTGAAGATTATTAAAGAGCAAGGATTAGAATTTGGAGGGAGAGAGGGCCTGACTGTGCACAGTACAAGTCACTGTGATAGAGGAAAGAAGAAAGGAAAAAGAGGTGGCACTAGTGATAAAACAATATAAAAGAGGACAGAAACTGCCTAATAAAAAGGTTTGTAAAAGGGTACAGATATAGTCTGGAGACAGTGACTGAGTGGGAAATGAAATGGGAAGAAAAGTTGGGTAATGATGGACTGTGAGGAAAGGACGGCAGGGAGAAAAGAGGAACAAAAGCATGGAGGCAAAGGGAGAGTAGATTGTGTGGAGAACAGTGTGAAGAATTAATGGGACTAGAACAAGACAAGTAATGGATGGAGTCAAGCCTGAGAGGATTGAGTAAACGTTTTATGTTCATTAATGTATCTCCCAGTTGTGCTCAAATTGATATTCCTGTGCCTCATACTCTACTCTAAGCCAAATCCATAAGCACAGCATGCTTATTCCAGAGCTGAACCAACAAGATGATAACAGAACTATCAGATTTTCCATCCATTCAACACACCTATTTCCAACTATGACATAAAGATTATCTCCCTATATGACTGATTTATATTACTATTCTGCTTTTGAAACAACCTTAAAATGTATCCATGCAAAAAACGAAGCTAAAAGAACATCCTTATTAACAAATTAACACTCAGAAGCTACAAAATGCTGGAGTTACAGCAGCCCACAACACAGTGTACCATAGTCTTTGAGCCCTGGATTATCAGTTCTTTTTCATGTGCACAGGATGAACTGTCCTTCACTACAGACAAACTGATTGATGTATTGCCTTTTTACTTGTTCAGTGTGTGGCCCCAGACCTCTATTAAAGCTCTTCACTAAAGACATCTCCTCTTGAGCTCTTCTGGTTCCTTTAAAATCTTAATTTATTTTCTTGTGTTTCTATAAGATGAGGGTCTTCCCCTTCTCATTCACAGAGAAGTGGACAGGTATTAAAGGAAGAAGCAGTTAGGGTACCCAGTCTAGGTCAAGTAGGAAATGATTTTTTAGACTGTCTTTAAATGGTTCTTGATACAGTTCCACTATGAAAGTGCACTTAAAATTACAACTATAAGTACCGAATTCTTCTGTAAATTAAAGTCTGGGGTCTCAAGCTGGATATTGAGAAAGCACTTGTGAAAAATCTCTTTTAAGTGATTTGCCTACCTTGCACAGGGATTACATAGCAGACAGAAGGCTTCAGCTCCTCAGTCCTCTATTGCCTCAGGCAACATCATCCTTCATTCCTCTACAGCTTCCTACCTCAAATTATGTTCCCCAGTTATGCAAACTTGGGAACAGATTACTGAATCAGGTAAACCCTTGGACAACAGCCCACCTGTTGTGTTAGCAATTCTGATACATCCCTAGGAAAATTCCACTGGGAATGCACTGAAAGAAGGATGAGGAAAAAAAATCACGATTGCATGATTTTAATCACAACAATATATTGTTATAATGAAACACATTTCTAAGAGGAATTGCATACAGTTGAACCAACAGCTATTTTTCAAGTATTTTCTAACTTTGGATGGATTGATCCCATAATCTCAAAAGGGCTTCTTCCATGTTGCATTTATTTTAAATAAGAATGTCCAAAAGATGAGCTATTCTAGACTAGCTATTGAAAAATAACTTACTCTGTACCAGCTATTTTATTCAATTTGCCCACATGGACTAGAGGTAAATTTTACGTATTTGTAATGTAAAACTTCTTTGTCTTCCTTCTACAAACATGTCTACATAAGGAAATTTACTAGTGACAGTGCAATAGCATTATGATTATATCTGTATCTATATGCAGATATTTTCATTCCAGAACAAAAGTACTCCCACGGGGAGTTACATCAGCATAATTTTACCACTACAGTTCTACTAGTAATTTCCCCATGTAAATGATCTCTGAAATAATCTAACCAAGATTTTTTCACATCTTTCCTTGCATGACAGTTTCTCCAAGCCCTTCATAAGCTTGTATCAGTCACATATTTTTCATTACCAATATGGCATAAGCTATAGTGTTTGATTACCTAGAATATGTACATGGAGTATCATAGAACAAGATCGTACAAATCAATTGGATTTTTGCAGATGTGCAAAAACTGTTAGTGCTTCTAATGTATACTATCAACCTGTGGTTTTTGCTATGTAAAGACCAAGTTAATGCTGATAAGGTAATAGCAAAGGTTCTCAACTGTGCAATCTGGAAGAAAGTGTTGTTCAGGTCAGCTGTTATAATTATAACTCAGCTATTTCACTGCAGTGTGCTTCTTCCTTCTCCCCAGTGTCAGTTCATTCACTCCCAATGTGGCCTGTTCATTCTTGTTTAAATGTTGCAAACTTTTTCTGGCAAGAAAATCTCTCACTCTGGATTTGTGCAGTATTAGGGTTTGTAAAATGGTTTGCTATATCAACCAAGCAAACAAACAAGCAGTTTAACCAAAAGTAGGAGTACCTCTTTGCCAAGGAAATTCTGAGAAATGCAATTCATTATACTGGCTGATTCAAAAACTTCTAACTTCCAAAAAACATAAACTACATTTCAGTTATAACAATTGTCCTCATGAGTCAGTTAATGGCTGCTACCATTTTTATGACCATTTTCAACACTGATTAAATTTCTTAAGGCATGTCTACCTTAAGCCCCACCCATGATAACACTTAGTAATTCTCACTGGTGAGAGTCAGCTATTTAGCAATATACAATTGACTACAAGGAGGAAAAACAGATTGGAAAACTCAGCAATGAGGAGAACAAAAAGAAGGGAGAATTAAGAAGAGCCAGGGAACAATACTTACTGCTGACTAACTGGCCAACACTCAAAGCTGAAGAGGAGGAGGATGAGGAGGAAGAAGAGGAAGCCTGACGCACTGGGCTTTGAGACATAGATGCTTGACTGTGAGCCAAATGCAGGAGATTGGATTGTGAAGTTGCTTGTCCCACTTGCGTCTGGGAAGGCTGATGGAGCTACATGTTAAAATGTAAAAATAGGTATTTAGAAAGTGAAGCAGTAATAGGAAACTTGCAATGCACCATCTCACCCTTCTACTTCTGGGGAACAAATCACATAGGAGCATTAAACACCATGGGCTTTATTCAAGTTACAATGTTACAGGAGCAATCTGAGCTGTTCAAAATATTGTTCAAAATAATTAGAAGGTAAATACTTCTTTTGAAATGGGTGATAAGAGACCTATGACATTTACATCAGGATTCTGATTTATCAAATACTTATCCTTACCTGTTTTCTGACTCATGAAACCAGACTTTTATTCCCTGCATGGATTCTCATAGAAATCAGGATTGTTTCACAGAGGTCCTTTCATACTGCAGGACCAGGACCAAGAAGTGTGGGAATGGGGAAGAGGCTATAAACTAAGTCAAAATCCCTTTCCTACAGGAATCAGAGATTTGTTTTATGACATCAGACCTGGCAAACAAACAAAGATCATGGGAACGAATGAGTTGTATTTGACTAAAACACATACAGAAACTTCTGAGCTCCATCCACATCAAGATTGTATCCAGTAAGACGCATGTAAAAAGTCTAGTGAGTAAGGCAGATGCAAATGATACATGAATTGACTTTCTAAATTTTTTAAAACATATATTACAAGAGTGTAGTCTCTGTTTGTTTACTAGAGAAATGGAAAGAGCCATCGATCCATTCTGCCTATAATATGCTTTCATGTGGCATTGAAATCTAAGCACATTCTCTGGTACTGATTTTCACATAAAACTCTCAGAAAATTTGAAGGGCAGTCTCTCTACAAAATGAAGGCACACAATGGACTTTACAGTTTTGAATTGGATTCTAGTAGTCCAGTATAGTCTTTTCAGAGCATAAGAATACAGTAATATAGGTCTGATACACTCTGGTGACTGCTGCTTATTGTACCTTTATTTTATGTTGATTCTTGATATTGATCAAAAAAGATGGTAAAAATATTCTAAAAAGGCTTCACTTCACTGCAGCTGTTATCTGCATTTTCTACAAGGTAAAAGATAAAGGCCTATGTGGCCTTGCTTGAAGTCAGTAATTAAAATCTATTTCTTGAATGCTAAGGCGTATGAGGTTTTCTCTTTTGATATCTAACTGAAAAAATGACTTTAGAAAAGGAGCTACATCTATTAGTAATACTCAAATTATATGTATTATCTTCCCAGCACACATAGAAATGTCTGATGCTAAGCAGACAACAAATTGTATAAATCTGTAGATAAAGGTATCTGTTCACATTCAAGATGATGCTTCCTGCAGAATATATATGAACTATTTTAATGACAATATTCCTGTTAGAGTCTTTTAAGAATGGAAAAAAAATTAACTTCTTTTTTGGCTCTTCTACATGGAATAATATCATAGAAAATGAAGGAAGTAACTTTGATTTAACATTTAATAATAATGATAATTATTTATCTCTCCAGTTTTAGTGTATTTTGATTTCCTTGTGGATTAATAAAAAAAGCATTTTGTTATATCTTGGATTTTTTTCTCAAGTACATTTAAAAAAATATAACTGGCACGTAATCAAGGGTATAACAGTTGAGAAGCTGATTAAAAGGCTTCCATCTTTCAGACTCATGCAAGGAGTGAGCTTCTTAAAAAAATTCTCTAACAGCTGGATTTTATCTACAGAGAATTCCCAACTCAGATATTACTTTTATAATATCTTCTCTTAGGGAAACATCCCACTATAAGGGCTGGCCTCTTCTGAAGACAGAAGAAGTGGACTGTCTGCCCACACATTATATCCACATCACATCCAGACTGCAGCTTTCAGAAATAGGCAGGTGTTTGGTGTCTGGGTCTGTTGTCTGAGGGAATCTCTGGCAAAACTAAAGATTTCAGCCCAGGCAAGGGAAGATAAGTACTGTATTTAGATGAGTTAGATGCTTTCACACTATGTGGAACAGTCTACGAGATGTTAGTGCTTATCTTTGAGCATGGGGGAACAAATACAGCAGCTATCTTTAAAGAGAAAGACCTGCAAAATTATAGTCCAGTCAACTAAACTTCAACCATAGAAAAGTACTGAAGAAAATAATCAAACAATTTGTAAGCACTTGCAAGAAAACAAGGTAGCGACAGACAACTTGGATTGCTAGAAACAAACTGTGTCAAACCAATCTGATCCCCCTCTAAGACAGGGTAATTGGCCTTGTGGACAGGGAAAAAGCAGTAGGTGGTTTGACTTTACAAGTGTCTTGACACTCCCTCATGTGACATTCTTTATAATCTAAGGAAGCATAGTTTAGGCGAAATTGCTGCAGAATGAATGCCAAAGTATTTGGAAAGCAAAACTGAGGATAAAGTATCTGTGGAAAAAAGCGTCCATGCATGGTGCTTCACAGAAGTCTGTCTTCATTGTGCACTACTCAATATTTTCTTAATGACCTGGATGACAGAGCAGAGAATACCTTTACTAAATTTACATGCTGATGACATGCTGGGAGAAAATTTTGACAGGCTGGATTACAGGATTAGGAATCAAAATGTGTCTGTGTTTTGAACATACTGGCTACAAACTTGTGTTAAAAAAGTGAAGAAAAGGCAGTTCCCATACCAAGGCACGTGAGCGTGAGTGATGTCTGCAGTGCATGTGAAGTGCACCTTTTCTACTGAGCCCTGGAAAGACCTCTGCAGAGGGGGATACCAATGTCATGTCCACAGCTGGGTACCAGACTGCATTAAAATCTGGACCAACTAGAGTTAAATAATTAGAATGGCTGAAGGCCTGGGAGTTAACTGAGGCTTATGAAGACACTTGTAATGAACTGGTCATGTTTAATCTAAAGGAGGGAAGACCAAGAGGGATATGATGCCTGCTTTGAATACGGGCATAGCTAATGAAAGGAGGAGATAATTATTCTGTTCTTTATTAATTTTCTAATGGGCCTAGATATCTGGAAAGTTGAAATTATATGCCGGGAAAAGCTATCTAATGTGACAGTGAAACACTGGCATAGATTATTGGTGGAATTGGTGGTTTTCTGTGACAGTGGTTAGGACAAAATTATCTAAAAACTTGAATAGCTACTCCATCTGAGAATAAGAGGTTAGACTGGATAATCTCTTGAGCTTTGACCTTCCACCCCTAATTTTTTAATGATTCTCATCATTAAAAAACATCATTTCCCATCAGCATTTCTCAGGGAGAAAAAAAACCCAACATTTTCCAGCTATGTTACAACATATAGTCGCTGAACAGCTCAACTACTGAGCACATACAGAGTAAAACTGAAGCCTCCAGGAAGCTCTGGAATGAGAGGGCACTCTGCATTTTTCAGCTCTATTTCATGCACAAAGTCAGAGTCACTATGTTGCATGTGCACAATGTGATAGTTGAATCTAGAAAGTGTTTGAGTCTCTGTGCATGTTTTGTACTATGCATATATTTTTAAAGTAACTGGAATACCAAGAAGCTTGGCAACTTTCTTGCTGAAGGTCCAGAAATATTTAAACAAATATAAGAAATTCTCATAATTTAGCTGGGGATAATGGCATATGGCTAGTGAAGTTTGGATTCACAATAACCTTAGGTGCAACAGCGATATATAAGGGATATTTACAGGTTAGTTTCTAAATCACAGCTTGTGAGGGAGAAGTGAGAAATGTGGTTGAACAGGCTGAAGAATCACCTTAAGACCTGACCAAATACTGAAAGAGGATTCCACCTTTAACTCCCTACATAATTTCTAGCATACCCTCTGCTTTACAGCAGATGATGTTGCACTGTAAATGTCCTGCTTAAAAAACAATGATCATTATCTATGGTATGAAATTGCATTAAAATACTCTCTATTTTCATCCACTATAATTTCCACTCCAGAAATAGCCTTAAGGAGAGGCAACGATTAGATTATGAATTAGATTCTAGATGACAGAATCAATTTGTATTTTCAATAGCTGACTTTTCCCAATTTTGAACACGTTTATATCATATGAATTATATTTATGACTGTTGTGCATTTTCCATCCAAAGACAGAAGGAGGCACAGAAATTACAGAAACAGTTGCTGTAAGTGCCATTCTTTGTAAGTGGATATAGTAGACATGCCAGAATGATGACTGTATGGAACCGTGATCTGTATCTGGTAGGAATTTGTGTATGCACACTACAACTAGAGGGATGAAGTGAATATGATAAAGGAAAAGTGCATCATAATACTTTGCAAGAATAAAGGGAAAGCTGAAAAGAGCCTCAATTGTATTTCTTTTGTATGAGCTTTACATATTGCTGTCAACAGTGAAGGTATTGACTGTATTGACTGACAAATGCAGAGGTAAAGAATTAGTTAGGTCTGTAAGACTGAATTTTGTTCTTACATTATTTATGTAGGGTATTCTTATGCTTGGGATGGTTGACTGGAATTCTGTGTTAAAGGCCTTATGAGATCTGTGATGTTGTTCTCTGCATCCAGAAAGGTGCATAAAAGTGATAGGGTAACAAGGTATTTAGCATAAAATAAGGAAAGAGAAAGAAACTAAGTGGAAATCTAGAAAAATTTTGACAGAATATTGCCCTGTATCATAACAGAGCTGCTACTTGGTTTTACAGAGAGTCTGGACAAACACCAAGGGTGAGATATGGATTCAAGGGAAAGGATAAGAAAATAATGAACTTAAATTGCAATAAAGAAAGCTAGGGTCAGGCATCAGGAAGACCTTTTGAATGCTAAGGAGAGGTGCCTAGATGGCCTAGGGATGTCAGGGAACCTCCATCACTGAAGATTTTTAAGAACAAGCTAGACAAACCTCTGTCAAGAGTGATATAGGGACAAGTGATCCTGCCTAGGGGGAGGAGACAGACTCTATGACCTCCTCAGGTCCTTTCCAGTGCTATTTTCTATAATTCAGTGAAAAGAAAATCTGAGAGATGAGGAAACACAACAAATTAGAGAAAAGTATAACAAAAAGGTGAAAAGAAATATAACAAAAAGGGCAGAAGAGATGAAACTAAGAG